ATAAGGGCAAAATAGTTTCTGCTGGGTATTGAAGGGGGAGGAGAGGGAGGAGGCGGAGTGGGTGGTAAGGGAGGGGGTGGGGGCAGGGAGGAGAAATGACCCAAGCCTTGTATGCACATATGAATAATAAAAGAAAAAAATAAATAAATTAAAAAAAAAAAAAAGACCCTATCTCAAAAAAACCCATCACAAAAAAAGGGCTGGTGGGGTGTCTCAAGGTGTAGACCCCGAGTTCAAACCCCAGTACTGCAAAATAAATAAATAAAATACCAATTAAGTACTTAATGTGACAGTGAAACAATATCATGATATGACATATTTATTTTCTAGGTCAAGTTGAGTTATTAAAAAAAGGAAGGGTGGAACTAATCGGAGAATGTGTTTTGTGAGTGATCACCTCCTCTGAGAAGTGAAGAAGGAAGAGGGAATCAGGTTGCCATCTTTGGAATGCTTATAGTCATCTCTACCTACTGAGTAAAAGTTGTAAATAGTCTAAGTATCCAGCATTAGTTGACTGGTCAAATATATTATTGTGCAGGCAACAAAATAAGACACCAGGGAGTGGTTAGAATGAAGTGGCTGTGTGTTGATTTAATATTAATGATAATGTGGCCACAGTACGTCCCTACAACAAAATTGTACAGGCAGACAGGGCAGAAAGCTGGTAATACTGACAGTCCGTAGTCATTGGGAAGGGCTGTAAGACAAGGGAGTGCCTCCCTCAAGAGCTCAGTTTAGTGGGGACAATGGAGGAAGCCGATAAAGAAGTAAGTAAATAAGATATGAGTGAGCTGGCCAAACTAGATCCAGAGGGAACTGGACACCATGCTAAAGAGCTTAGATAGTACTCAAAAAGCAATGAGAAGCCACTGGGGACTATCAGGCAAGAAAGTCACCTCATATATCCACAACTGCCCAAGTCACTTTGGTGGCTGGGTAGAAGTAGTCGAGAGTAAGGTTAAATAGGAGGAGGAAAAAGACCACAAGATTCACTTCCTTTCTAGGACGCACTCTGGAGTGCTTCCTTTTTTAAAAGAAGGACTATCTCCTACCTCTGTAGTTTGAAAAGGCAAAACAAGTATTTAAATGCAAATCTTTAGTAATCAAAAAAGTAAAATGCTATCTAAAAAAACCCTCTAGACTCTATCCAGATGAAATGTAAACCTTTACATTGAATTTTAACCACTTGTAAGTATTATTTCAGAAAAAAAAAAACCCTATTCAGTAACTACACTCATGGTGACTCTATTTCCAGCAAATAACGTGCAATATTTCTAGTCATCCTACAGAAGAATTAAACTTTAAAAGTGACTTACTTTTCACTAAAGTTGACCTTGACTGCAGAGGCTGAGGGTGGGAAGGAGGGCTTCATTCCTGTGTTTGCAGCAGACATACTTGGCACTGGTGTGCTTTCCAGGGTGGGCTTAAAATCCGACGATCCAAAGGAGAAGGAAGCAGCAGATGGGGCCATGGGAGATGCTGCAGGGGTAGGGGTAATGGGGGCTTTGGAAGGAGGAGCAAAAGAAAAGGTAGAGGTGCCAGAACTCAAGGCTGATCTGGGACTGTCAGAGCCACTAGGATATGAAGGAGGCTCTGCAGTGACAGAAGCAGATGACTTCAAGGATGACGAGCCAAAGAACACCGAAGGGGTCCCTCCAACAGAGGGCACGGGGAAGGTGGCGATGGGAGCAGCAGGGGACACTGGTGCAAGGGAGGAAGAGGCTGCCACTGCTGATGAGGCATCAAGTTTCTGCAGGCCTTGAGAGGAGGTTGGGGTAGTTGGAGTACTTCCTGCAATGAAAACCACAGAGAAAAACTTAACAATGTACCCTGGTGGTCCAGGTGGTACAAAGCAAATGAGAAAGGGTTTGTGGTTAAACAAGGTGGAAACAAGTTCAAGAGGAAAAGCATGAGAAACTGTGAAGGGATAAGGAAACGGGGTAAACATTAGACTAGGTAGACTTCACCCAACCAATAAATATAGAAAAATATTCTTCTTAATGTTATTATGGCATCACAAAACAGTGAAAAGGTATTCTGCGTCATTTCAACTGAACTAAAAACCTGTAACAAATGATGTTTTATATATTTTAAAAAGCACACAAATTCAGATTAAAAAACTTAACACTCTCATAAATATAACCTGGGAACCTAATCTACAAAAAAAAGAAGATATATTCAGTCTTTAATCAAAGAAATGTAAATTTAATGAGGTACATTTTTTGATTATCCTCTAAATTATCAAAATTTACATATATTCCTCTATGACTAGATGGGTAAATGAACCTGATACATTTTATCATCAGTAGGTAACTAATTTAGCATTTTTTTTTCAGAAGACATTTGGTAGTATGTCTCAAAAACCATAAAAAATGGACCTAGTCATCCTTTTTATAAAAGTAAAGCCTATAAATTATAATCTAAAAAATGAAAGAAATAGTCAATGTAATCTAAATGGTTTAAAAAAAAAAGTCAAGGAAGTACTAAGCAGTAACTAAGAATTACTAAGGATTACCTAAGAACCAAGAAATGCTTACAACTTAACTTTAAAACCAGCTTGCCAGTGACCTGTTCACATGATGATTACAACAATGAAGATGCCTATGAAAACACACTAGGAAAAGAATGCCCCAAAAGGTAGGCTTAAAATGTTATATTTTCCAAAGTTTCTGTAAGGCAATTTCTCTAAGTGAAATAACTAAATCAACAGATAAGGAATCTTTAAGAAATCAATAGGCCTCCTCCTTCCATATTAATGGGCTTTGATTCTTCCAAAGTGGCCTAGGTGGCAGGTGGACACTGCCTGAAGCAGTACAGTACGAACATGCTGCTCCTGAGAACAGCCAAGTGAACTGGCACTTCTATGAAAGAATAATAATGCAAGAACGTGTACTCTGTTAATACTTCTTTTATAAACAGACACGAATCTAGCAACAACTTCTTTAAAGACATGAATAGAAATATTAACCACTTCTATGCACATTACGTAGAACATGAAAAATATATGGCAAACTAAAGAAACTGTAGGCATTTTTCCCCACTGAATACAGAGTGAACACTTAAAAACTATCACCCTTCTACTACTTCTGGTCAATACCCTTTGGGACAATAGTGTGGAAAAAGAAGGGACCATCGATGTCTTCCAAACTCATGACAAAGGACTTGCAGGTGTCCACACAAACCTTTTCCTCCTTTCACTACTCCTCTTTCACTTGTCTGAACATGGCTCTTGCCTCTGTATCAGCCATGAGGGAGGAGGCTAACAATAAACTACCCTCTGGTTGTACATTTAATAAGCAAAGTCTTTCATGCCAAAATATGCTCAGAAACAACTTTGCCCCACAGAATATCAAAATGACAAGCTACTCTGCTTATTAGACAGACCAGGGAACTGGGTATATGTAGTTCATGGTATCCATGATCACTTAAGGGAGAAACACAACCCAAGACCACACACACTTACAGATAACAGGACATCTCAATATAACGCTGGCAGTATATAGTTTATTACTTGGAGTCACACTGCAGTTGGCAGGTCCTGGTATCTGAGTGGCTGTATTTATGATGTACAACTCCCTCTGCATAAGGGAGCAGTGAAAAACTATACCCAAGTATTGTCAATCTTATCCAAGCTAATAGTTCTCAGACATGGAACTGGTTGTTATGAGCTTTTTTTTTTCCCCCCCTTCAACCAGTTATATACTCAGAGAATTAAGAGAGAAATAGTAATGAAATTCCAAAATATGGGAAACTGCCCTCTTAACATTCAATATTTTAGTCTCGTAAGTGATACAATATCACTGAGAAACCTTTGAAAAAACAGGTTAGTGCTTATATGTGTACATCTATATGCAGGAAGCACAGACCCCAAAATATTGACTGTGGCTATTGCTTGATGACGTATGGGCTCTAGTGATTCCGTTTATGGATTTTTCTAATTTTCCTCCATAAACAGATGTCACTTAATGTTTTCAAAGAGGAGGAAAAACAAACCTAAAGAAAATTAAATATAAACAAAAGAAAATAAAATGCCCACATTCTCACTTCAATATCTACCTTTCAAGTGTTTTTTCTATGTATGTATTTTTTCTCATAAAAAAAGGGATCACAGAGCACAATGCTTTTGTTATGGTATACTCTACTAACTCTTTCCTCATCAATAAACATTCTTCAGAATTACATGGCATTTCACTATATGAATGTATAATCACCAATTTAACCAATCCCCAGGATTAAACACATCTTTAGAACTCAGGTCACAAAATATAGGGTAAAAAATCTGATGGGACCAATGGGCTGACTTTCCTTTTTCTGAAAGTAACGTAACACTTAGAGAATGAACCTGGGAGTAATAAATAAAGGAAGGAATGTGCATGTGTGTTCTAAGAAGAGATCAGCCCAAGCTTTCTGAAGGCAGCCTGGCGGGTGAGTGTGTCCACGTGCATCCTTATACCTTGCATCTTCATCTTTAGGAACACTCCTAAACTGCCCAGGTTATCCCCTTCAGCCAGGGCAGGCAAAGGCACACACCTGATGCCTTGGGCTGTCGTTCTCCTTCTAATGAAAGCCGCTCTGGGGTCTTGATGAGGGACCTAACCCCAGGATTTTGATTGATCATATAAAACGGACAAAGCACACCATCTGTTGAAAGTAACATGAGAACTGGAGCAGGAGGAAGAGTCTTTTCATCATCTGTTGAAAGAGAAAACAAAGCCAAGTGACGGAAAAAAAAAAAAAAAAAAAAACCAAGTCAATTTAAGGGCGTGTACCTGGAAGGGAAAGACTGCCCTATACAAGAAAGCCTTCAGGGAGTCTTTTTTTTTTTTAAGTTTTAAGGAAAAGAGGTTCCTGGCTCTGACTCAAGGTTGAGGGGGGCTGCATCTGGTGATGGCTTTCTTACTGGTGTAGTCCTCTAACAGCCTGTGACATCACATGAGGGATTTACTGTAATAGAAGCTCAAGTCCACGTGCAATGATCAAGATCTGTAACAGCCTTTCCCACACCAGCTGACAGCTGCTGTCACTACCAAATCACCACCATCCTGCTGAGCCCTGCAGGATGCTCCAGCAGCCCTGTTTGCTCCCCAGGCTCCCTCCATTCTGGAGGTAGGTTCAACTCTTCCCTAAGACAAGGGTCTCTAGAAATGTTGTGTTTTTGTGTTTAACACAAAAATGACAGAGTAGACTCATAGGGGAAAGAAAAATCACACACACACAGAAGGACACAGAAAAACAGTCAAACTACTAGGCAGGTGCTTTACCACCTGAGCCACTCCACCAACCCTAAGTGTCAAACTACTTTACATTCATTCACAGTTGAATCTTAAGTATGTATTTTGTCAACTGAGATTTTAAAAGAAGCATAGTAAATGTGCTAATCAGACCAAACATGTCTGCCTAGCCAAGGAAAGGACAAGGAGCTTAATGGTGCCCAACTTTGCTGCTGCACTTTCTCCATCTCACTGACCACAGTGCTGCCAAACTCCCACAAGGGAGAAAACATACAGAGCACACACCCAGGCCCAGGTGAAGCCCTGGGCTTGGAGTATCCACCTTATTATTCCTGCCTTAACCAAGCATTGGTATGCAAAACCAGCTTAGGGTAACATGAGGGAACGAGAATGGGCAAAGAAACCAAACCATGAAATTGAGTATTATATATCCAACCAGATTCTAAAGTACAGAGGCATGTACACGTACACACATAAATATACAGTGTCTGGCCGTGGTTTCACCAGTGAGTTTCCATTCAGAGCAGCTTGCACAATGTACCCTGTATCACTCTTTAGGTAGAATGTGCCACCATAAATTAAAAGCGTCCAGCACAGTAGACCTTCATGAACACATCTAACTGGCTTCTCAACATTAACCTTATAAGAAAGACGTTTTCTACATCAGGCCATACTCACTGATGGCGATTTCCACTTGGTTGGTATAATCTATGGCAACCCCCATGGGCAAGGAGTCATCACTCTTATCTGTCACAGGCAGTTCAGCTCGACTAGAATCCTCCAGCAGCCAAGATTCCCAATTAATCTGCAAAAAACAAAAAAAAAAATCTGTTTGGTTAGAGCTTTGCACTGGTTCTCCTAGCATCAATCAAATAAAGAATAAAAAGGACACCATGCGTGGTTTAGTTTTCTGTGTTGACTGGAGAACTTTAATATCTAGGAAAATAGTAGAAAATCCTTGAGCAGTTAGTTATCCCCATCAATCTGTCTACCTGTTCCTGATCTACAAATCCCCTGCCTTGTGAACTATCATTATCATGGACACTTTTTGAGGTATTTTCCACCCCCACCTGCTGAGAGGGTGTTCAACAGCTGCACTAAGACAGATGCTCTGTGCTCACTTGTCCAGAGAGACAGAAGGGAACCTAAGTTCCTGACCTTTTGTTCCTCGGACTGATCAGCCTTTCTGCCCCTGCATTCCATGAGAAACCTCTAAGTCTTTCCAGCAACTCCCATTTCTGTTTAAGTTTGGTTGGACTCTTCCTTCCAACAAATGACTGACGATTTTAAAAATCAATAATGTTTTGTTTAGCTTTCAGTGTTAACTGAACTAGAAAACATGAATCAGAAGGTAACAGAGGTGATAGGCATGGTGGCCCATACCTATAATTCCAGCACTTGAGGCTGAGATCAGGAGAACTGCAGTGCAAGGCCAGCCCCAGCAAGTAGTTCCAGAGACCCCATCTCCAAAGTAACCAGAGCAAAATGGACTGGAGGTATGGTTCAAGTAGCAGAGAGCTTGCTTTGCAAGTGCAAGCCCTGAGTTCAAACCTTAGACTCACCACCAAAAAAAAAAAAAAAAGCCTATTTTAATATTTGACTACAAAAAATTCACATGCTAGTAAAAGACTGTTACTGAGATACAGTTTTAGAGCAACAAATGAAACTGTTAACCTCTGGCCTCTGACCCCAAAGTGGCCTACTCATACACTAAGAGTCACAGTTAATTCCTCCCAAAATCTTTCTCAGAAAAGCATCTCATAACACAAAAGTGACAAGAAAGAGAAATTTACCTGATCACTTTGTCGAGCAAGGATACTAACTTCTGTTGAAGCCGCAGATGCTGCGAGCACTAAATCCCTAAGAATAAAACCAAAAGAGCATTACATTCAAACATATCAACAGTCTGAACCTGACTGGGTCTATATAGTATCTATGGGGATTTTCTCCTCACATCCAGGAGAGGGCAAGGTTACTGAAGAAAGAAGAAAAGGCTCTAGATATGCAACAGAGCTTTTTAGTTTCTAGGGTAAAGCACTAGAAAACCCACCTTCTGTCTATCTAAATGAAGACATAGAATCAAGTTAGGGTTCACAACAAATACTGCGTAAAAGCAAAAAAAAAAAAAATATAGAAAGTAAAAAAAAATTGAGAAATGAAAGTTTAAAACATTTTCAGAGAGAAAGGTTTAATATGCTCCTTAAATATCAATATTTTCATAAATCATTACTGAGGATTTTTCTGAGTGAGTACACATTTAAATACTTACCTATAACTTATCTATAGGGGAAACAGAAGCATTTGTCAAAAAATGAATTATCAAGCACTAGCTGAGAAAATGTTCACGATGTCTCTGCCCATACTTTCCTCTCCAAAGAGAAAATTTTCTAGTGGAATTTGGTGCCTGATGTATTACACAACAGTGGCAGCAGGAAGCCCTCTGCTCACCATTCCTCGATGCAACTGAGATAGTAATGATGCTGTCTCTCTGTGCAGCTGCCATAGCAGGGCTCCATAAAGTTCACAAATATCTCTGGGTGCTTTTCTTCTTTTTTCTATAATCAACAGAACAAGAAAAAATCTCATGTTCAATTTTCTTGAATCCTACACAGTTAATAATCTCAAAAGGTAAAACCATTTAAATTGTATGAGAAAATTCTCTCAAAATCAATATACAAATATTCAGACATGATACAAATGCAACACTGAATTGAAACTATATTCGAACTCTGTTCTACCACTTTCTGACCATGGGACCAGCATGGGTAGATTATTCAAACTCTCTGCTGCTTGGTTTCTCACATGTGTGATGACCTACTAAGCCTACTTCAGTCTTTTTGAAAGTAAAACAAACTAGGCTTCATAGAAAGCTCTTAGCCCCACACATGAACATCAGTAGTCAATAAATCCTCATGTTATATTGTCCTGAGAATGAGAAAATTCTTGTGATATAATAAGGTATCCCAATAAACATTTTTAAAAAGTTGACCTTGTCAGGAACCCAAGAGTTATTAAAACAAGGTGCTTTTTTTCATGTATCTGGTTGACAAATATTAAAAATGGTACCACTGCACACTGACACACATGTTGGGTAGTCCCACCAATGGTAGAGCACAAAACTGGTACAACTTTCCTGAGAGACTGCGGTAATGTTTTCAAAGCTTACCAAAAAAACCCACACTCATCAGCTGTGTGTGGTGGCATGTTGGTAATCCCAGTACTAGGGAGGCAGAGGATCACAAGTTCCAGGCCAGCATGAGCCATAATTCAAGTAAGCTCAAGGCCAGGCAGAGCTATACAGTGAGACCCTGTCTCAAAAATAAATAAATAAAATCAAGGGCTGGGAGTGCAGTTCAGTGGTAGAGTACTTTCCTAGGATGTACAAGGCCCTGAGTTCAATCCTTAGCACCAAAAGTGATTTTATTTCTACGGATTTATTCTAAAAACTACACATTCTCTAAAACAGAGGAAAACTGAAATAACATAAATACACAACAGTAAAGAAGAATTGAATAAATGGATTTTCTAGTCAAAACAACTAAATATAGATTCTACTCATTGTCATAGAAAGATTCTAATTTGCTAGGTAAAACAAGGTGGCAAAACAGAATTAGTGTAACTCCCACTTTTGTTTTATTTGTAGACATTTATCGATGAGTTTTAAGAAATGAAAATGTGTATACTAAAATATCAAATTATTTCTGAATGGTAGGATTAAAACTGATTTTTTTAAAGATGGCGTTTGGAAGGTTTTTATACTTATAAAAAGGGATGTTTGAAAGCTAATTCTGGTTTGGAAATAAAAGTTCTGTGCCATTTGTTTTTAAAATGCCATTGCGATTTAGTAACATTTTGTAGATCTTACTGCTGTTCTTCCCCTATCTTCAAAATGATTTCTTCACTCATTTGGTTCTCTGTTCAAATGAAGCCTCCTCAGAGGCCCTCACTGACCACACCTATCCTAGTACCACCTGTCCTATATAATGCTTTCTTCTCCCCTTTATCAACTGCCACACTCTTCAGCATGTGAGAGCTATAACCAAGGATTTTACCATGGTTACCTTTGTATTTTCAGCTTTAAAGCAGTGTCTAACATACTGTCTGCATTTAAGAAGCCCTAATGCATTTAAAGTGGAAGAGTTTTTTCTGCTGGACTATAATCAGGGCAAACTATGAAGAATTCTAAAGTTGGGATCCATTTCAAGTAAATCAAAGAATTTTGTGGCACTAGGGATTGAATTCAGGGCCTTGTGCATGCTAGGCAAGTACTCAAAGGCTTGAACTACACACCCAGCACAAATAAAGGAGTTTAAGAAAAAGATATTTTCTTGTTGCCAAGCATGGTGGCTTATACCTGATTCTCAGCTACTTGGGAGGCAGAGATTGGGAGAATCAAGGCTTGAGGGCAGCCAGGAAAAAGTTATTGATATGTCATCTCAATCAGTAAACTGGGCAAGATGGTATGTATCTGTGGTCCCAGTTATGCAGGAGGCTACAAGACCCTACCTGAAAAACAACTAAAGCAAAAAAGATCTGGGGGTGTGCCTCAAGTAATACAGCACCTGCTTAGCAAGCATGAGACGCTGAGTTCAAGTCCCAATGACACACACACACACACACACACACACACACAAATCCTTTGTTTTTCTAAAATTTATCATGTTAACACTTTAGGGGCTGGGAATGTATCTCAGAGGTAAAGTACCTGGCTAACATGCACAAGGCACTGTATATGATCCCCAAAACAACAAAACAAAGGACTCCCAGTTTACAGGATCTATACGTGTGTGTGTGTGTGTGTGTGTGTGTGGTGTGTGTGTAAATAAACTTATGAACATGCTGTAAGTAAACACCATAATTTTAGTCCCAGGAACACTGAAAACTTATACCTGAGTCTGCAACATCACAGCCAATAAGGAAAAGGAATCTGAAACCTAAGTATAAGTTCATTAGAGGACTTCTCTAACTCTCAAAAAACAAGTAACGCTCCTGTCACATGCATACCGGTAGGAGAGCCATTACTACATCTGGAGACGTTTCCAAGGTCCCATCTGCAGCAGCATATACTATTGTGAAGACATAGGTACCAATCCAAAGCACATCTAGAACTGAAAGACAACCCCCCCCAAATCATTAGGTATTCAAATCACAGAAAGCAGATAGAGAAAAAAGATCTTACATTTGGACTAGCCACTGCAGGTTATAAAATTTAACATACTATTGGCAAAAAAAAGTCAAAGTACAATAGTTTTGACAAAGATTCAGATTTCACTAAGTATAATTACAGCTATAACAACTTAAGAAGCCCAAATTCACTTAAAGTGGAAGAGTTTTTTCTGCTGGATTATAACCAGGGCAAATTATGAAGAATTCTAAAGTTGGGATCCATTTCAAGTCACTGATCAGAAGACAGAGATGTCTCCAGAGGTAATCATTACAATGATTTAGCTAGCTAACTGAACAGTGAAATTATACACGAGGGAGGCACCAACCACCCCGCCCCGCCCTCCCCCCCTGCCTCCAACAGGTACAGAGGCAAATCACATGATCTGGAATGGCTGTAATAGAGAAAGTATCACATTAGAGGTCAGCCAGTAAGAAAAGCAGTGTTACCTCTGACAGGATGATCTGACTCATAAAATGGAGGACAAGGAATGACTTTTTTTTCCTGCAAAGTCTGAAAGAAATTGAAAATAAAGTGTCAAATGAAACAATCTCTAAACCAATGAGAGTTTCAAGCCTAACCCGTTCTCTAGAAGTCACCTGCTCCATCTGTCTAGCTGAAGAGACCGAACAAAGAGAAGATTATGCCAGGCATGTTGTCCACACCTATAATCCCAGCATTCAGGAGGCTGAGGTAAGAGGGTCACAAGTTCAAGGTCAGCCTAGACTCTATAGAGTTCAAGGCCAGCCTGGGCTATATAGAGAGGCTCTGTTTCAAAAACAAACAAAACAAAACAAAAAAAGCCAGGTGTCAGTGGCTCATGCCTGTAATTGTAGCTACTCAGAACGCAAAGATCAGGAGGATCAAAGTTTGAAGCCAGCCCAGGCAAACAGTTTGAGAGACCCTATCTGGAAAATACCCAAAACAAAAAAGACCTGATGGAGTGGTAGAGTGCCTGCCTAATAAACATGAGGCCCTGAGTTCAAACCCCGGTACCACAAAAAAAAAAAAAAGAGTATCATCTACTTCTAGGACCCTATCCTAGAGAAACACCCACAGGAACATCTTCAGATACCACTAAGAAGGATGTTCAATGCAACAGCTTTCATACCTACAAAGCTACTGGTACTACTGCAGGTAACCACCAATAATGACACAAATTGTGGACAGCTACATAGCAAACTGCTTCTTCTTCAGTTACTGAAGAGGACGAAGTAGCTCTATATGTAATGAGTTAGACAAAAAGACCTCAATAGAGCTGGCAGAGTGAAAGCCTTGAGTTCATCCCTCAATATTGCCAAAATAAAAAGGTGAACAGAAAAGCAACAAAAGTAAACCAAATGTATTATATTTTTAGAGGCTAATTCCCCTTGCAAACACGTACTCAATTTCACATAACAGTTTTTGGCGATAACAAATAAGAAACAAGCTAGGCACGGTAGCGTGTAGCTGTAATTCCAGCTACTCAGAAGGCTGAGGCAGGAGGATCACTTAAACCTAGGAGTTGGAGACCAGCCTGGGCAATAAAACAAGACCCTACCTTAAAAAAAAAATTTTTTTTTTCCAATGTGACATGTAAGAAACAAAACGTTAACCTTACACCTATACCACCACATCTACCACCCATGCACACGGCAGAGAGCTCTCAAGGAGGAGCACACAGCACACGCCTTGGCAACCCTTCTTCAGTGTCCACACTCGGACAAACATGTAGGATTCTGTGAGCCAATTTATGTTGACGAGTTTTAGTGAATATCATCTCAAGAACATCACAGGGAGAAGACAATATACACATACAATGACACCAGCATCTGTTGTCTTTCTTAGCCACATTTGAAGGAAACAAACCTTCAAGATGGGTAAGTTAAAAGACAAATACTGGGCTTTATGCAGGAGTGAGAATGTGTTACAATAATAGCTTTTTCACAATCTCCTTTTCCCCTTAAGTTTGTTTTTATGGAATGGATTGGAAATAAGAAGTTGAGGGAATAATGCATAGAAAATGATCCCATTTTGCTTTACAGGCAAAACAAAATAATGCACCTACACATAGACGTTTTACACAAGCACTTAGAAAATGAGTGCTATTCAGTACCTAGGACACAGAGGGGGCCTCTTAAAGAAAGACTAGGGGATAAGGGAAGAGGTCCACTCTTTTATTCATTCACTGATAAGTTTGTTACAATGAGCATAAATTAATTTTTGTCTTTTTTTTTTTTTTTAAATAGTGCTGGGAATGGAACCCAGGGCCTGGTGTATGCTAGGCAAGCACTCAAACACTAAGCTATCTCTTTAGCCATAAATTACTTTTTAATAGGAAAAAAACAAAAACAAAAATCAAAGATGTTCCCAAACTAGTCCCTAAACAGTGGGTAAAACAAACAAAAAAGTTCTTAAGTCTGAGGTAAGAACCTACAGGAAGATACTGGACCACGGTTCCATTCTGTTTTCCCACTGCCAGCTGCTTTCCTTTGGGGCTCCAGCACACTAGGGAAGAAGAGAAGGCAGTCAATTAAAACTGAAGAAGACGGGGCAAATCAGAGACCTATCACACAACAGCTATGTCATCACCATTTCTCCTTCTGTCAGTCCACAAAGGCTGTAGAAATCCTTACTGCACAGAAAAGTGAAAAAAACCAAAAAAAAAAAAAAAAACCATTTTAATGACAGGAGCCAATTATAACTTATCCTTGGCAGCTGAATTGAAAGCCACAAATGCTTTTTCAGAGGGAATTGCTCAGAAAACTCTGTAGCCTTTACATGAGTAAAGGGAGAACAGACAAGGTTTTTAGGTATCAAGATGTCCTTCTCCTGTTCCAAATAGTTTCTAATGTTTTTCCCATGAAGGTACAAATGACTTTCACTTTACACTTAGAAGTAATCATTCTCAAAAACACAGTTCTAAGTGAGTTACACCAAAATATTTCTTTCTCCAGGTAACTCACAAGTACATTCAAATAATTCATACATACTGTTTGGCTTCAAGGACTATGAAAATTAAGAATATTCTCTACTTCTACCCCAAAAAAATAAAAAAACCCACACACAAAACAAAAAAAAATCCATGTGCTTTTATTTCTCGTAATTAATTTTTAAATAGATTACCATTACTGTACATTATAGAGTGAAAGCCTTTTTACCCACCAGATGTAACTGCCACTGAGGGAGGAAGAGTGGCACACACTTTGACTGCTTCTGTGACTTGCAAGACAGCAATACTGCCATCAGCCAGACAAACTGCCACCATGGAGGGGACAGTGGGGTTCCACTTCATATCGATCACCATGCCTCCTGCATCCTTCAAAAGCTTGTGATAGGCAAACGGGCGTTTCTGCTGTTTGCCCTTTTAAAGTAAATGCACAAAAGCAACATAAATTAATAAACACAGAGGCACTTAATATTCAAAGGAAATTACTGAATATACAAGTTTTCTTAAATTATAGTTCACTTTTCTCCATAACCATGGCTGTACACAGCAATGTGTTAAAGATAACAGCAACAGAACCTGAAAACGGCAGTTATTCCAGCATGCTCTGAGGGACTCCAGTCAGGAGAATACTCAAATGCAACAACAAACTCTTGGCTCTGATTAATTATGCTGGAACCCTGGATAATTATGTAAACTCTTTAAGCCTACTTTTCTTCCTATAAAATAAAGGTAATTGTACCACATGTGACATTATGGTAGGCATGAAAACGAATTAGGCATATAAACACTTAGGGCAGAGTCCTTATAAATACTCAATCTTATTGACTATTAACATTCTTAAAACTATTTAAAATGGAGGCCAGAGACCGAAAACATAGGAACTTTTGACGTTCTCTATAACTCTATGGCCTTGAGCAAGTCACCTAAGCCTCCCTGGTTGGTGTCTTGCATAGAAATGAGAAATAACACCTTGGGGCAGGTGGTATTATGAAAATAATTTGTCAAAGTCTCTTCTGGCTCAAAGATGTATGACTCTATAGTTAAGAATTTTTAACCCCTATTTTAATCTAGAAAAAGATCTGAAGGGTCAACTTGAGAAGCTTCCAAATTATAATTCATATGAAGAAAGCTGAGGTTCCTATGTTGACATTACAGCTTACCAGTAGCTTACCTCGTTTGAGAATGTGCGAACATCAAAAAAAGCGATGATGCAGCCATATTCACTGGACATCATGCACACAGAGAGTGTAAGGTTATCACAGCTCAGGGCCAGGTGATGTATTGGGAATTTCATAGGAACCATCAAGCTTTGGACTTTATCAACTATGAAAGCATAAAACAAAACAAGGCTGATGGAGTGGCTCAAGTAGAAGAGTGCCTGCCTAACAAGCATGAGGCCCTGGGTTCAAGTCCCAGTACCACAAAACAAAAGGTAGAATATTCTAAGTACAGAGCAACAATCCCTTTATTCAGATCAATGAGAAACAATTTTTGCATCTCCATAAACATACACCCCCTTGATAGATAATCATGTAGATAAATCTTAATTTTAATGATGCATTAAGTATCCCAGGGAGTTATCCTCTCACAACAGGAAGAAATTAATTGTAGCTGCTAGTCTTGTTCAAAATGTTTTTGCTACAAGGCTCCAAATAGTACACATTCCCATTTACTTGGGTGGTTCTGTTGCACCAACAAAAACCTCGCTTACAAAAACCCTTCTCCTAGAGAGCCAGAGCCCAAGCTCAACTGAGAAAAAGTAAAAGCACAGCATAATGATAAGTTCTTCCCTCTGAGCTAAGAGAGTAACTTGTTGAAACAGTAATACAAAGGAAACCTAGAAAGGCTTCCGGCACCCCACCTGGAATTTAGTTACATGGATCTCAATCTTAGGTCTAAAAGCAATTTTAATTTTAACATGAGAATTATGTCTTACAAAGGAAAGACGTTAGCATGCCTCTCCCTGCTATACCACATCAAGGAACTTACCTATTTTATTGGGGTCATCTCCAGGTTTGTTTTGAATGAGAATGTTTTTAGTAGGAAAAACTTGCAACCCACTGGCTCCACCAGCAAAGACCAGACCATATTTGTTGGATATGGCAAGCAGACTTGAGCGCTCCTTGGGTAACTCTTCAGGGGAGTCAAAGATTCTCACCTTCTTCAGTGCTCTAAACTGAAAATCCTATTTTAGTGGATGAAAACAAGATCAATTTGGGGAAAAGAGGAAACCGATTCATGTCTGTTGTTATATTCTAGAGATCCAATTTCAGTATAACTATTTTAAAAATATACTTACTAAACTGGAAATGTGGCTCAAATGATAAAGTGCCTGGCCAGCAAACATGAAGGCCTGAGTTCAAACCCTAGTACTGTCAAAAATACACTCACACTACCCCAAGGCCAATGACTGTCTCAGTTATCTTTAAACTCCCTGTGCTTATGATAGTACCCATAAAAATTTTTATTACTATGTGCTGAATGAAATAAATGAAGAAAAAATCCACAAGGCCTTCCTTGAGTAATCCAGCTCACACTGATTTTTTCTTTTCTGAATTCCTAGTTGTATGTACTGCCTGAATCACCACACCGATATATTTTACTTTGTAATCTTGTTCTGTTTCATGTCATTATATTGCCTCCTAATCTAGTGTAGCATTTAACAAATTAGTGCTGAATACTAAAAACATCACCCAACTGCTGTGTAACTCTAACTTCCAGTGCAGTACACAACAAATACATATACTGAAATAATTACAGGAAAATGACCAAATCCCAAGAACTGGCTTACTTGTATCAGATGCTTGAAAAAATCCTGTCTTGGAAAAGGAAATGGTCAATCTCTTTAAGTGTTGAAGGCCATTAAGCAAAACTTAAATGATACGGACATCTAAAACATTTGTCTAAAACTCTTAATACAGGCTACTGGGCCAGTCATAGCTTAACCCATCAACCTCTCTCCTCCATAAAAGGATAATTGCCTTAACCACAACCACTGCCAACCCCACTCCTACTCACTTTTAGTTTTTTATTTCCTTCAATTTTCATGCTCCTTAGTAGGCTGGAGCTTTCAGACACTATTCGCCTAAACATTCTGACCTGCCAATCCCTGACTCACCCAGTCTTCTGTGAACTCATCTGCATGTTTTCAAAAGCAATTTTTAGTTTACACTACCCAAAAGACCTCGTAAGTTTTTGGGTTTTTTTTTCCCTTCAACTCAAAACCTACCTTCAGGTTCAGGTTTAATGAAAAGCATGTGAATCCACTTTGTGCTTACTTTCCAAAAGTGTAAAAGCCAAAGACAGCTTTCCACAGTCTTCATTTCTATGGACTAGAATCCTGTGATGTGTCTTCATACAGGATCTCTAACACCCCCCCACACACTAATTTCCTTGGATTCTATGTTTAATACATATTTGCCAAAGGATCAAATTAAATACTCTTTAATTTCAACTGAGTCTCATGCGCAAAAATACACATGGCTTTCCAGGTGAGACCATATAATGGTTTCCTAACGGAGAGAAATTTTGTCTTTTTTGTGATTCTCATCCTGATAATCCCAACTATCCTATTTGGTCTTGGTTGCCTGGGTGCAGAGGGCCAGTGGATGAATAGGCACAGAAGAGTGCCTTTTTCTGGTATGGTCAGTAACTCAAAGGGACAATATCACCTTAAGTCTGTAGCTGTAAGGCCTTTTTTCTTCTACCCCAGCATAACTGAGGAATATGGCATATTCCTATTAGGTGGCTTGCCACAGGCAGTGGTCCAGCTCAAAAAGGGAGAGAAAATCACTATGGTAAATATGGCACGGAGTACTATCCCCTATATGCATTGCAGACGTTTGTTGTTGACAAGACGCCTAAAGTCTTCAACTTACTCACTTTCAGCTGGAATCGCCTTCACTACCGATTCCAGTAGCTCACACCTGTAATCCTAGCTACTCACAAGACAGAGATGAGGAAGACCGCGGCCCATCAAAAAGGGCTGGCGGGTTGTAGACCCTGAGTCTAAGCCCTAGTACCACCAAAAAAAAAAAAAAAGAGAGAGAGAGAAATAAAATTGAAAACAGCTCCTTCTCCGTGCTTTCACTGTGTCAGAACACACTTAACAATTAAACCCACCCTGCTGGGACTTGGGGGCCTCCCACATTACTGTCATCACCACTTGGCCCTTTCTGACTTCAGGCTGACTTCCGGAGCCACAATCGGTTCCTGGTCCGATTACCTATAGGTTTTGCAGGACAGATGATCTTCCCCAGTTCTGCCTCAGGCAAGCCTGGTTCTACAGCAGCAGTGCAGAGGAAGTTAAGAAGGGACAGTCTTGAATGAACCTGACTTTCAGCCCCCTTGCCAAACGTAACTTGGGATAAATTCCTTTCCGAACCTCCATCTGTTCCTCTATACTTCGTAGGGGGGCTGTAACGATTACCACAGTGCCTGGCACATGACAAACGCTCAATAAACACAGGTAATTATTCCCGCTACATGCAAGACGCTAAGATAACCCAACAGGCGTGCCCAGGACCACCAGAGGCAGGGAAACCGCACTTTGTGGGCTATCACGCCGGCGCACGCACAGCGACCCGGGACGCGCGAGTGAGAACTCTGAACGCGGTAAACTGGTCAAGGAGCAGGCGGAAGCGCGGCTCCAAGGCAACACCAAAACCAAGGAAGGGAGGAAGGCCCAGCCCGTGTCTGACCTTCATCTCCCGCTCCGGGATCATGGTATCCATCTCGTCTCCCATCGCGCCGCCCTCGGTGTGTGGAAGCAGGCGCCGGTGCGGACCACGGCCTTGTCCACAGGCCCAGGCCGCTCCTAAGCCAACTTCCTTTCCTCAGCGCCAGCGGCGCGAGGCGCTCACGCATTTCCGGCGGGCGTTGATGACGTCAGGCGGGGCCTGACAATGGCGTAATCCTGGAAAACTCCGGTGTAGCCCGACGTCGCGCGCTCCTGGCCGCCTACCCCTATTTGTCAGCTCCGGCGAGCGGGGGCGTGGCTGTGGGTCGCGCGCAGGCGCCGTGGAGAGCCCCCCCCCACCACCTGGATTATGGGCAGCAAGGGTCTGGCGCTTGTGTTTCATTCATCCGCAGTCGCACGCCTGGGCGCTTGTCAAGGTTGTTCCCCGGAAGCCTCACAGTAGCCGGCAGTTGCAGGGCTTTCCGCGGCTTCTGATTCAGACAAATTAGGACCTTGAAAAATATTTCCAAGGGACTGTTTTCGAGGCAGGATAGACCAGAAAAATTGAGGCGTGGGAAACAACAGCCAGGAATTCAGAGATAAATATTGTATTATGTTTCATTAAAAGCACACAGTCACTATTTTCTGTGCGTGCTATAAAGACTTACACCCCCGCCACAAGCTGCAACACTTAATAAAAAGAAAAAGCAATTTTCTTCCTCTGACCTTGCCCACTCGCCCAAAAGAGTGTGCTCTGAGCCCAAGGAGAGCTTCAGAAGAAGGGGAGAGGAAGCCGGGCGCCGGTGTCACGCCTGTAATCCTAGCTACTCACGAGGATCGCCGACCAGGCAAAAAGCGAGACCTTGTCTCAAAAAATACCCAACACACACAAAAAGTGCTGGGGGTGTGGCTCAAGTGGTAGAGCGGCTGTCTAACAAGCATAAGGCCCTGAGTTCAAACCCCAGTATCACCAAAAAGTAAAATAGTGTAACAGCAAAAACGACTAATTATTCCAGGTGTCAGAACAAAGGGGAGTAATTTTCCTAAGATAAATTTGAGACAATCCCACCCACTTTTTTTTTTTTTAACCATAAACACCCCTGATGTTAGATGTGCCTGCCTGCACCCATGTCTGGGTTGTGTACTATACTTTTTTTTTGGCGGCACTGGTATTTGAACTCAGGGCCTCATGCATGCTAGTCAGGCACTCTACCACTTGAGCCACCCTAGCAGCTCTTCATGGTGATGGTTTCTTTCGAGATAGGGCCTCTGGAGCTGTTTGGCCAGGGCTGACTTCAAATCTCAGTCCTCCTGATCTCCACCTCTGAGTAGAATTACAGGCATGAGCCATTGTCGCCTGGTTTTTCCTTTCCTTTACTATTAAGCTGTAGTCTCTACCTCAGTGTACCCTGATATTTATTTATTTATTTACCAACATCATGAACTCAGTACCAAGAGCCAGACACAGCCCTCTTCTCTTTTGGAGACTTCCTCCGTGGAGCCTCGCTGACTCACTTTCCAGAGAGGTTTTGGGTTGGGCAGGAGGAGCAGAAAGGTTCAGGTGAGTGGACTGGAACCTTGCCACAAGACATCCTTGTGAGTCTAAGGAGAAAAGCTGAAAATGGAGAGGCTGAAGGACACTAAAGATCAGCTTTGTTACTCCTTTCCAGAGCAAGAGCCATATCTACTTCTGGTTACAAAATAATTTGCACTTGGGCTGTAGGTGTGACTCAAGTGGTGAGTGCCTGCGCAAGGCCTTGGGTTCGAACCCCAGTACTGCAATTGATCAATCATTAATCAATCAATAAAATGCTGAATTTTGCACAAACCACTTTAGATGTTAGCTCATTTAGCTTTCAAGACTTTCTAGTCACCCAGCGGCTTAGTAACGTTTAATTAATGAAAGTGAGGAGAACTGAAAAGCAAGGAAAATTATCCACCCTCAGTCACTAAGTGGAAGCAGGATTTGAATTCAGATCACTGGGATATACCAATGGATATTACAGTCTTGTGCAAAAGAAACTTGTATTGTGGAATTATAAATGCTGGGAGCCCATGGGCCAGCTCCCGGAGGCACATTCACCTCTTAATGTTAGTTTTCAGGAAATGGCTTATCTGCTCCAAGCCTGATTCTCATTGTAAGACAAGTGTCTGGGGCTACTATAAGGAGTAAATGAAGTACAACTGTCTCAGTCTGCTGTTGGGTTCGCTGGCGCCTCTGAGTTTGCTGAACCCAGAACCTGACCCAAGATACACAAAGAAAGACATTGGTAAGTTTGGTTTATTTCCATCTGTAGAGATGATATCCAACCTCACACACACACACACACACACACACACACACACACACACACAAACACACACACACATAACTTCATTCACTTGAATTTGCCTGGCAAACTCTTTCCTTTTGAGTCACAGGGACAAAGCCATACTTGCCAGTCCCTATGGTGCTGGTTACATCAGTTAGATTTGGTCTTTTTCAGAAATAAGAGTGAAATCCAAGAAGTTGAACATTTAGCCAAAGAAGAGTCCTGGAGCCAAAAGTCACAGCATAAACTACATGCAGACTCCCTTCCAGGGATCACTCGAGACCCTCTCTCCCTGGGATATGAGTTCTAAGAACCAGTGAAGGGACTAATGGGGTTCCCCCCCGCCCCGCCCCTTGCAACACACACACAGTAAGAACCCTTCCTCAGAGGCTGGAGACATACCTGTCTGCTCTTCTCCCATATGGACCCTCCCTGTGCCACCGTAAGCTGTGGAACTCACTGAAACAAACCTGGTTGGTTCTGCCTTCCTCTCCAAGTGCAAAACAGAAATAACTAAATATGACAAAGGTCCCAGCCCATGCAGAGAAGAGAGGCAGGAAGAAGAGGTAGGGACAGGCACTTGCTAATCTGATATCTCAAGAGGGAAATAAACACAAGGCAGAGGAGGGATGGGAGTGGGCAGGATTTTAGATTTACAGGGAGGAATGTTTTGTTGGGGTTTAAATTTCAACTAGACCTGCGTATGTGAAGCAGCCTCTTAGGCTGAAGTTCAGCCAGTTGTAGCCAAATAATTTCACTCCCGAACTGGTTAAGACTAGAGCTGCTCATGTGCTCATGCCCTGCCTGCTTTGCTCCCTCAAGCTGCTATTGGAAAAGCAACCTGGGCTCTGTTTTTTATGTTGGTACTGGGGCTGGAACTCAGGGCCTCACACTTGTTAGGCAGGCACTCTATCACTTGAGCTACTCCACCAGCCCTTTTGTGTTGGGTATTTCCAAGATAGGGTCTCACAAACTGCAACTTCCTAGGGCTGGCCTCCAACCAAGAACCTCCTGAGTAGCTAGGATGACAGGTGTGAGCCACCAGTGCCTGGCTCAACCTGGGCTTTTTACTGAGTCCCTGAGGAGCTGCAGGGACCCCACACTGCCCCAGTCCACTCCACTTAAGGTTTACAAAGGCTTCTCCAGGACAACTGCCCAGTTGGGCCCAGCTAGAAGCCCCAGGACTACAGGGCAGTCATCCTTATGTACCCCCCACTACCTAGCATGATAATCTATCATCATCTGAGTCTGACTTCCCCACTTGACCCTAAATTCCATGATGTGCCCATTTCACTGCTGGGGTCTGAACTCGCAGTGTATAGCAGGGGTTTAATAATAAATTTGTTCAATGAATGAGTGCATCTGAGTCCTGAATGTACAGGATGAAGGACTCCAGAACGCAGGTTGTGTCAAGGCCGAGCTTAGCACTCTGCCAAGATAGGGTCCAAGTTTGACACCTTCCTGCATGAGTTCTTCTGAGGCTCAGCCAATTAGCTGTAGGTAGGAAAGGCAGAGTGCAGAGGCCAGGCCCTGATACTGCCTCACTTTGGGGAGGGTGAGCCCTGGCCGAGGGCCTTCAGAGCCAAGTGATGCCGTCCCCAAGTATTGGCCTGGGAGAGCACCCCTCCCCCCCTTTAATGTTTTTGTCATTGCCTAAGGCAGCCCAGAGCAGACAGAAGGTGCAGGCAGGGTACCAGTGTAGGCTCTTCCATCTCCAGACTAACCACCCGACCTTGCAAAGCCCTTCCTCCTTTGGGCCAGCACAGTGAAATGAGTGGACTGGCTAACCTACAGATTAGATCAGGCCTCTAAAATCCTGTGAGTCCATAAGAAAGGGCCCAGATAACCTCAATCCAATCCCCAAGCTCAAGGTTTGGAGGAATTCAGAAAGGGAGGAGTTAGAGACCGTGGACCCAGCACAGTCAGGACCAAGTAGGAGGACTTAAAGCTCGTCAGAGGCACTCAATAAATATGGGCTGAGTGAGTGAACTGAAAGGTTGGTGTGAGTAGGGCAGGGAGGCAATGGAGGAAGCCCAGCTGGGTTTCAAGCAGGTGACAATCAGAAAGGCAGTCTACTTCTCAGCTCCTGGCTTCCCATGGTGCTGACTCTGCATGAGCGTTTTCTTCATCCTCCCATCCTCATGCCCTCAGTGTTCTTCCTACAGGGTGGGCCGCACTGAGCTAACCCTCCCCCAGGGTCCCTGGCCCTTTGCTCTGAAGCCCTTTTCTGCCCTAGCAAGGGACAGTGGGGCCACAGTCCCTCTATGCTGCCTGTAAAGCTGTGACAAGAAAGCAGAAGTTTCTTCTGGCTCCTTCTCGAAGGGCTCAAAGGACCAAGCTCCTTTCTTCCCCACCTTTTGTCCTATCACTGAGGATGAGCAGAGGTAATGCCCAAGGGTAGGTCAGGTGGGGGACCAGGCACTAAGGGGCCATATCCTGGACCACCAGGAGCACTGGACGTAGGGAGCTAGCGAAGGACACCCAAGGGGGCCCTGAGCATTGTTCCTGCTCTAAGGTATTTGAAAGTGGGCTGGGCTTCTCACCAGGGCCAGGCCTGCAGCCTAACTTAGCTCAGAGGCCTTCTAAAAAGATGGACAGGACAGTCTCCAAGCGTGGGAACACAGGCTTCCAGCATCCCTGCCCTGTCCAGTTTTTGGTTTGATACCAGCCCTTCTGCACAGGGAGGTGGAGAAGGCAGGACGAGTAAAAGAGGAAGGGACACAAGGCTCCGGATTCCCCACCCAGAGTCCCTTTAAGACAGATTTGTGCTTTCCAAAGAGACTGATGAAAACAAACAAACCAAACACAGCGACCAAACAACTAAGACAAATCACAATGAGTCGGGAAAGGCAGGAGGGAGGGGCAGGGAATGGGGAGGCCCGGAGGTTCAGGCAGGTCCTCAGGGTAGGCTGGCAATGTCTCTCTCTGGAGGGGGGCCAACTGGCTTGGGGGTGCGCTCATTGGCTTTTCCTTCAAACATCATGACTCTGGTTTCAAGGTGAAGAAAAGAAAAAAACAAAACAGGATTAGAATTCATCCCCGTATCCAGAGGTCCTCCAGCCCTCACACTGGCTCAGTACTCAACAGAATACCCCCACATCTGTTCTCAGGGGTCCTCGTGAAAGTCCATGCTGGCAGTTACGTGGAGGGTCTGCTAGTCCATTTTACAGAGGGGAAAACTGAGGCACAGAGGCTTTGTGGCTCCCACAGGAGGTCCAAGGAAGAGGCAGGGACAATGCTCCAGGCCTGACTTCCAGGCCACGTGCCTTCATCTAGCCACACTGTCTGGAGAAGGCTGAGTGAGTCTGGGCCAGGGCTCTGCTCAAATTCCTTTCAGATCTTCAAAAAAACCTCCCCTACTGCACTGCAAGTCAAGTCTGGGGAGGAGAGAATAAGGGTTCCACATGGGACCTGTAGGGAAACAGCAACATTCAAGTGTTGCTTCCCAGAACCAGACAGTCAACCTCTCAGACCCTTGGCACTTTTGTGTATGGGGGGATGGGGGGGTGGTCCACGGTTCTGGCCAGACTGAAACACGGGCTCATCAGCCAGTTACTTGTTCTCCTTGTGCCTCAGTGAACTCCTTTGAGAAGTGAGACAGGCATAGTCCACTTTGTACTTAAAAAAAAGTGAATCTTCTTTCATAAAAACTGAGTGTCCTTTTCAGCTGAGACAAATGACAAGACTCTCCAGAGGATCTAATGGGGAGGACAGCCTACAACATGGGGTGTCATATATTAGATGTTTGCCATCAGCTGGGCACAAGCTGAAATCTTTGCACATTATCTCATTAACCCTCATGACTGCTTCACGGAGGACACGGACTGCCCCATTTTACACTGAAGAAAGACTCAGCCAGGGGTGCACACACCTGTAATCCCGGCTCCAGGAAGTGTGAGGTGCCACATATGGAGACCCTGCCTTTAAAAAAAGCTAACTATGGTGGTACACGCCTGTAATCCCCATTACTCAGGAGCTAGAAACAAGAGTATTTGGGACCAGCCTGGATAAAGTTAACGAAACCCTCTTGTAAGAGGTGCCTAAACTGCTTTAGCTGAACCTCCTTCCTGGGTTTAGGAATTAACTAAAAACAAGAGAAAAGCAAGGCATCTCTCTATTTTGTACCTGTCTTTGCTCTAAGCCATTCTGTTTGTAGTCACTTTGTAATCACCTTGGATTCCAGGAAAGATAGAACTGATAATATCTTCATGACAAGGAACCCTAATAGTAAAGTCTCCTCACACCAGACCACTTGTCAGGTGACAATGACTCTGATTACAACTCAAGCCTCTCCCAAAATGAGGACTGAGATTAATGGTCAACCAGACCCCACGAGAGGGACTGTTTACCTATGCGATCCTCTCCCCCTGCCTCCAGGTCTTGTGTATTTAAACATGTCTATCCACCAAAGACGCTGGAGTGTTTACTCTGCCTCCTCCCGAGTCATGTAATAAACCTCCTTTCTCTGCCGTCACCATTAATGTCTCTTTATTGGGTGTTTAGGGGTGAGTGGCTGGACCTGACATGTGGAATCCCAGGAGTTTGGGCCTTGGATCCAAAACTCCAGTTTCGCTATCTTAAAAACGAAATAAAAAAAAGGACTGGGAATGCAGCGCAAGTGGGTAAGCACAGGCGCGAAGCTCTGGGTTCAGTCCTCTGCACTGGGAAGGGAATAAAGGAAAACTGTGGCTGGTGAACCTAAGGTAACTTGCCCAGGGCCATTTAGGTGGCCAGTAAAGATGTCAGGATTTGAACTCTACCTCTCTTGAGAGCCGAGTTTTGACTTGCTCACAGCCCCATGTGGGTAGTAGAATTACTTTACAAATGAGGAAACTGAGGCCCAGCAAGTGTGGACAATAGTCTTATCATAACCATCACCATCACGGTTGCCCCTCCCTGGCCACTGAGCTCCAGGTCAGTGCTTTGGGCTGATTTGCCCTGCAAGGCATGCATTAGCATGATCTGTGACATATAAAAATCCGGTACCTCACCCCGCGTGTCGCACCACAAGCTACCTACTGGCTGGGGATTGGCTGAGGTGGCCAGAGTCAGGAGCCTCTCCCCACAGATGCCCTTGGCCTTTGGAGGCCCCACATGTTGGGGGGGTACTCACAACCTGAGGACAGCTGACCGCTTGCCCAGCATCATGTTCACAAAGTCTCGATAGGAGATGGTGTCGCTGACCCCACCTGTCACTTCTGAGATCATCTTCTTCATCTCCAGGTGCGTCTTGGGGACCCCCATCTTCTCCATCATCCTCTTTAAAGACATGAGGTCTGCCGAAGGAAAGGCAGACCCGCTCAGTGGACGTGGGCTGCTGAGGCCCAGTGGGGAGCCAAGGCCCACACCCAGTGGCTCTGTGGATGCTCTCCCTGGCGGGGATGAGCCCATCACCCTCCCAGCTCTCTTCAGAGGCAGGATAGGCTGGTGGGTAGGGTCCTGGGTTTCTACAATCAGACTTGCGTTAGAATTGAGCTCTGCCACTCCTGGCTGGGGACCCAAGGCAGATTCTTTGCCTCTCTGAACCCTGCCCCCATCAGTGGTAAGATGGGTTGCTGGGCTCCTTCAGAGGCACAATGCAGGAGAAGCTATGGCTCTGTGGTGCTCAGCTGCTCTCTGTGCTCAAGGGTGAGCCAAGTGCCAACTCTCCCTCTGCCCAGGGAGTTACTGCTGTGTGGGGGTGGGGTCAGGGCAGGGAGTGGGCCTGACCCCAAGCACTGAAAGTCAGTCTCTCGGGCACAGCATGGCAAGTGACTTACTTGCCTGCCACCTGTCACATCCACCCTGCTGTCCTAGGACTCCGCCTAGGCTAGAAAGAAGAAGGAGCCAAAAATATTCTTCAGGGCAGGGAAAATAAGCAAAGAACAAAATTCAAGAAAAACAAGGGAGGTACCAAAGTTACTTCACCCCAGGAGGGAGCTGGGAGCAGCTGCCTCTGACCTCCCAGCTCCCACCAAGGTCTAAGGCCATTTCCTGGGGATTGTTCACAGAAACAATGGGTCAGCAAAGAAAGCAGCAGCCGGGATGGGCAGGGGCTGATCTTGGGGCTAGGAGCAGAGGTGAGGCCAGTGCTCACCCAAGAGGCAAGGTGGGCAGGACCTGAAGGTGCTAGGCTATCCTGAGTCTTTCTGAGAGCCTGGCAGCAGGCTCCCACATAATGCCCACCAGAGTTGAAATTGGCAAGACCTTTCCAGAGGGCAATTGCCAGGATGCAGCTGAATCTTCTGACTTACATTGTCTCATTGGAGAGATTTACACTAAAGAAATACCAGTGAGTGGGCCAAGATCTCAGTCAAAAGATGCATTTCACAGGGCTATCAACAACCCTGTGGATCGCAAACCCTGTACCCACCTTCTCCCTCCTCCCCCAAGGCCTCACTCACCAATCTCGCCTTCATTGTTCAAGTCAAACTCCATGTACTTCTCTGGAAATTACAAGCAAAACCCCACATTAGCCTGGAAGCAGCAGCACAGACCCAGTGCCTCCTTCTTGCCACCCTCCCCAGCCCATGAGTCCTGTCCTCTCAGACATCATCTCTGGAAATAGTTCTTCTTGCCTGCACCACTGTCCCACAGGCACCATGAAGGAAAGGTAACTGGGGGCCACTCTGATCCTTGGAGGAGGGCAGCTGCCCACTGATGCAGCAGGAACATCTGAACAGGCTGCAAAGTGACTAGACAGATTCCTGGCCCTAGAGACTCAGAGCCAGTGGTTTGGAAAGGGTGGTGGGCAGGCCCTGGTGTCTCTGAGTAGCCCAGGTGGCACTGTGGGAAGCCTCGCTCTGAAACTGGAGAGAGGCCTGGGGCCTGCCCAGCTCACAAGTGCACATAAAGACCTCATCTGCAGACTTTGAACTAAAATTAAAATTACCCAGGCCAAGGAGCCCAGGAAAACCAACAGCAAGGGAGGATGACAGGAGCCATGAGCTAGGTGTTTTCTTTTTCTTTTTTTTTTTTTTGGTGGTGGTGCTGGAGTTTGAACTCAGGACTCCACTCAGGACTCCACACTTGCTAGGCAGGTGCTCTACCACTTGAGTCACTCTGCTAGCCCTTCTTTGTGTTGGGTATTTTTGAGATAGGATCTCAAGAAATATTTGCCCAAGCTGGCTTCAAACCACAATCTCTGCCTCCTGAGTAGCTAGAATTATAGACATGAGCCACTGGTACCTGGCTAAACTAGGTGTTTTCTGATGAGGGTAGTATGTCAACAAACCATGTGGCCCTGGACAGTCCATTCCTGCCACAACAGAGGAGTTCTTGCAATCTATTCTTCATCATGGAGCAGCCAGCATGGAAAGGCTGAGATCCTTCTAGGGGCCTATGAATGCACTGTCCCCTCCATCCCACTGCTCTCTGCTGGCCTGGCGGCTCCCACCCACTGTCCACATGCTCCAGCAGCTCCTCCTCCTGACAGGTCCTCCCAGGTATCCTC